CAGAGAGAGAGAGAGAGAGAGAGAGAGAGAGAGAGAGAGAGAGAGAGAGAGAGAGAGAGACCCGCCCCACCTCCTCTATACCAGAATGTCAAAAGGAGCGGACGGCAGAAAAAAGTGCGAAGTACCAAAGTGGAAAATAATGGAGATATCCATCACGTCTAGAGGCTGTCTGCACCCAAAGGCCATTCCACCTCATAAAATATCATTTCTTAGACATTATTTTTTTTTTGTCGATGTTCCATTTCTCTCTCTCTCTCTCTCTCTCTTTCTCTCTCTCTCACACACACACACACACACACACAACACACACACCCTGTTCTCTCTCTCTTTCAAGCCTCTCTCTCTGCTGTACTCTACCTATCTGCCCCTCTACAAGCATGTTTCTCTTTGCCTCTCCCCCTCTATCTTTATCTACGAACACAAACACAGACACAGACACACACGCGCACACGCACACAAACACACACACACACACAACATAAAGACACACATTAGTCCATTTTATAGTATTTAGACATATTACTCATAGCTCTATCTCCATTCCATGTGAGTATGGTTTGAGGAAGAGCACACATTTCTAACCGATTGAAAAACAAACAAACGAAATAACAACAACATTAACAATAACAAAAATAACAGTTTCAAGGTTTATCGCAACGTTTGCAGTATGAAGAACTAATTCGTTTTTAATTGATACTTCACAGGTTGCAGTTACCCAAAATTTCTCCACGATTATACACAAAAGACGCACATCATATGAACGAGCAAGCGCTCTAACTCTACCTCCGATGGTAGCCACATACAATTACGCGGCAGAGACTCATTTCCCTACGCCCAGTCTCCAAACTCGACCCATCACTGTCTTCCTTGGACAGGTCCTTTTACTGACCGGCCAATAACCCAGCCGCCTACAATCTAATTGATTAATGATCGATGGCCGTGATCAAACGGCGTCCTCCCTGAATGTCCCCTGTCGCATCCGCGTTGCAAACACGACGGTCGCTAGTCTTTCTTTTCTTTCTTTGGAAACTTTCCAGGCGACATGATAAACACCGGCTTGATCCACGTATGGTAGGAGCTGATAATTTTGCTGGCTTACAGGAAATGTAAACATTATTGAGTTTCTTGTACACGAGTATATTATTATTATTTATCCTCCTGTCGGGGTATTAGTGGGTCATTTTAGTTGGTTGAGGGAAAGAGAGACGGAGAGAGAGTGAGAGAGTGAGAGAGAGAGGAGAGAGAGAGAAAGAGAGAGAGAGAGGAGAGAGAGAGAAAGAGAGAGAGAGAGAGGTGAGAGACGGAGGGAGCCAAAGGGAGTGTTTGGGCAAGAGAGAGGAAGAGCACAACAGAGCACAGTATAGCACAGCACAGCAGAGTTGAAGACATTGAAACATTTCAATTTAAGATTAACACAAAGTATACAGTTAGACTAAGAGGCAAAGGACGTTATAACTATATATTTCCGCTATGCCTAAATCTGTGGAGATTTCATTTTGAGAAAAGTGGTCGGAATTTCTCATCCATAAACAATATCATCCAATTTGGGGAGCTGCAGCCATCCAAGGAATGTTTTTGCCTTCCTGGTCATTTTCGTTCTTGTTTAAGTTGAATAAAGAGGAACAAAACATCCACACATCTAGGAAGAATATATAGGAAGAATATCTAGGAAGACGCAAAACTGACACACAGAAGCAACAGAGGGAAGGTAAAGAAGAGGGAGTTCCTAGTGGCATTTTAAAACCACTCTCATCCTTTTCTATTCCTTGCACATCCAGAAAGTATGCCTTTCGGGAAGGTTTGACTTTACTCACTGAAGTAAAATAATGATCTGCAATGCTATATGAGTTAACGTTTTTAAGCATGGAAACTTTGTGCCTTTGTATACAAAGTCTTGTTGTGTGTTTGGGTGAGTGCACCTTTAAGTCTAACTTTTGTAACGTCTACTGCCATTGTTAACGACCAAGACAAATTTCTCCCTGCGAGATGAATAAAGATTGTCATTGTCATTGTCATACTTTAGATTATTCGTAAAACAAACTATTGGGTGTGAAAAGAAACCCACGTTTAATCTTACATTTAAAATCTATATCTGGTGGATGTATTTTTGTTAAGAACTCAACGTGCTGTATTCCAGTCTAAGCAATGGCTAAAACAAAAGCATCCTATTAAACGTCCTCGTGTAATTTCTAGGGGGAAGGATTAAGAGGGGGAAAAAAGGATCGGCAGCCCCCCAGATTTCACAACGTTTTGCTGTGTTTTTGTAGACCCGGACACATCTTTTGAGCAGGGGCAGAGAACTTGTGTCACCCCCCGTAAAACGCAAGTGATTGATGTCCCTTTGACAGACAGATTATTTTATGGAGCTCATAGCGCGAGGGAGAGGATTTAGATCTGTTCCTCTAGGGGGGGGGGGGGATAATTAAAATCAATGTTTCCTCCCCTCCCTTCGTTTTTACTCGCCTCCTTTTGGTAAGCGTGAGATCCCCAGGGACATCCAAATGAGATTTCGCTTATGGGGATTGTTTCGATTTAGAGGATCAGAGATAACGTTTATTTACATGCCCCATTTTTTGCCCCAAGCATTTCTGTGCACTGACATTTCACATTTCCTAGAGCAAAAGTTCTGCTTGGGTGACCCGCAGAGCGTCTCAGCATGGATCACATTCGGCGTGTGAGAACATACTGGTGATTCAAGGATACTCCCTTCCTCCCAGCATTGTTTCGCTTCTCTTCACACAATTGCAAAAAGAAGAAACCGTAATTATGCCCCGAGTAAAATGCTATGAAAAAATCGGTGAGTACGTGTGTGTATGTGTGTGTGAGAGAGAGAGAAAGAGTGAGGGAGTGAGAGAGAGAGAGAGAGAGA